CCCTCCCTGGAGGAAAATAGTCCATACCCTCCAGCGGAATGAATATTGAATTATATTTCCATCCCTTTTGCTTATGTATAGTGTCCCACACGCAAAACTTTCCTTGTAAAAAAACTAGTATTAACATCCAATATCCGAAAATTATGTGGTATCCAAATAATCTTCTCCAATTGTGCCTTACTCATAGTCTCCTCTATATTTATCCAACATTTCCCTTGTGAATTATATGTTCAATCTACAATTCATGATAATATCACCAATAAGTAATATTTCCTAAAATTAGGAAGGTTCAATTCCCCATTCGTTTTTGCCCTACACAATACCTCATATTTAATTCTCGGTTTCTTATTTACCCTTATAAACTTAAGTATTATCCTCTTTATTATCTCAAAGAAGGATCCTGGTAAATGTATTGGAAGCATATGAAACTTATACAGAATTTTTGGTAGTATCACCATCTTTACCAAATTTATGCGACCTATAGAAGATTCCCCTCCCTTTAGAAGTATCCCCAACTCTTCCTTTATTTCATTTATTAAAGGAATATAATTAGCCTGGTAAATACCTTTGATTGAAGGAGTTAACTTTATTCCCAAATAACCTAATTCCTTTTCCCTCCATGTAAATGGAAAATCTTTTTTTAGAGTTTGCTGCTCCGTCTTTGAAACATTGATGTTCAATATCTCTGACTTTGAGGGGTTTATTTTCAGGTTTGATAGCTCTCCGTACTGTTTTAGTAGTCTCATTAAGTTAGGCAATGTTATTCTAGGATTTACAATATAGAATAACAAATCATCTGCATATGCTTCTACCTTTTGTTCTACTTCACATAACGTTATTCCTGGGAATCCCTTAAGGGAATTCCTTGGGGAGTCCCCATTGGAAGATTTTCCTTTTATTACTTTTCTGGGGACAAACCAAAAGTTGGGATTTTTTACCTTCACTTTCAATGATAATGGTAAATAGGACAAATAGAGAGGGCGAATCTCCTTATCAGGGCACAGACAGCAATAAGACTGACAGAGGTTCTAATCCTTTCCCACTCTATGCAAAACTAAAATAAAAAAATCTTTAGTTATACTTTAAAGCATATCCAAACCCTAGGAAAAATTGTATTATTTTTATTATTATTAATATTGCAACTTACCAAACTTTAGATCTGTTGGCTGCACTAGCTTTCTTTTTTAGGATTCTTTTCCGTGCCATTGAACAGGACTAAAGAACACTTCTCCTTCCATTTACCTTTTTAAACTAGGGTGTAGGTGTTTTATTTTTGACAGAGAGAAATTACAACAATTATAGTAACTAATAAGAATTCATAACAGGCAGGGAGCTCAGGAGGTTATCTACCCACAAGATTCCTTGTATTTTTTTGCACCTACCCAAAAATAAATGAAACGTTTTTTTTAAATACTAAAAAAGAAGCAAATTTAAGAAGTTCACTGTTAAGGTTTACAGTGGGGAAAATAATTTTTTGATCCCCTGCATATTTTTTAAGTTTGCCCACTTACAAAGAAATAAAGGGTCTATCATTTTATCATAGGTGTATTATAAATTGTAGAATATCAACCAAAAATCCAGAAAAAACACTTGATACAAATGTTATAAATTGAGTTTAAGCTCAGTGAGTAAAATAAGTATTTGATCCCTTACCAACCAACAATAATTCTGGCTCCCACAGACTGGCTATGTGCTCATGTGGTACACAGAGAGTGAGAGATCAGCCCAGAACTACATGGGAGGAGCTTGTGAATGATCTCAAGGCAGTTGGTAACACAATATGCCACCTTGGATTGAAATCCTGCAGTGCCCACAAGGTCCCCCTCCTCAAGACGGCACATGTACAGGCCTGTCTGAAGTTTGCCAATGAACATCTAAATGATTCAGGGAAGGATTGGAGAAAGTGCTGTGGTCAGATGAGACCAAAATTGAGCTCTTCAGCATTAACTCGAGTTGCTGTACTTGGAGTCAGAAAAATGCTGTCTATTACCCTAAGAACACCATCCCTACAGTGAAGCATGGAGGTGAAAACATGCTTTGGGGCAGTTTCTATGATAAAGGTACAGGCCCACTTTGCCGCATTAATGGGCAAATGGACGGGGCCATGTATTGTAAAATCTTGGATGAGAACCTTCTTCCCCCACCTAGAACACTGAAGATATGTGGTGGATGGGTGTTCCAGCTTGATAATGACCTAAAACATACTGCCAAGGCAACAAAGCAGTGGCTCAAGAAGAAGCACATTAAGGTCATGGAGTGGCCTAACTAGTCTCCAGACCTTAATGCTACAGAAAATTTATGGAAGGAGCTGAAACTTCGAGTTGCCAAGCCACCGAAACCTTAAGGATTTAGAGAAGATCTGTAAAGAAGAGAGGACCAAAATCCCTCCTGAGATGTGTGCAATCCTGATAGCCAACGACAAGAATCATATTACCTCTGTGTTTGCCAACTAGGGTTTCTCCACCAAGTACTAAGTCATGTTTTGCTTGGGGATCAAATAGTTATTTTACTCACTGAACGTCAACTCAATTTATAACATTTGTATTATGTGTTTTTTCTGGATTTTTGGTCGATATTCTGTCTCTATCATTTAAAATATACCTATGATAAAAATTATAGAACCTTTGTTTCTTTGTAAGTGGGCAAACTTACAAAATCTGTAGGGGATCAAATAAATATTTTCCCCACTGTACATACATTTAGTTAATGCTAAGAATTAGGTAAAATTTTACAGTTATGAGTTAATTTTGAATGTTAGGTTTCATAACAAAGTAGATAAAGCATATGGTTCACCTAACTAGAGGCAGCAACAACCTGCTCCTGATAAGCACAACATATTCCTAATATACTATTTCCTATAGTTTCAAGCCCTGATATAGAACTTTAACTGAAACACATTCCCTTTGTGCACAGTTTTCATCTGACAAAGTGAATCAGTCTCTCTAGAAAACAGCCTCATATGTCTAATTTTCACCTTGGTTAAAGGCAAACCCTTAGTGAACGAAAAAGCACCAAGGACAGATTCATACTGGTTATGTAGGCATGATGACAGAAGCAACTAGCACAATAACACTTTTTTTGTTGCCTGGGGCTCCTATGGGTCCATAAGGCCTTCAGTCATGATGATGGGCCAAAAGGACCTGTCAGAGTGGGCAGGGTCAGTAATTAACACTACCAGAAAGAGTTGAAATTTGTTAATTACACCAAAATAAGGTATCTACTGTTAGAGCATGTGTATAAGTATGCAATGTAGTACAATTAGTGTATTTACAGAGGGCAAAATCTGGTGCAGCTGTTCATTGTAGCCAATCAGCTTCTAACTTCAACTTGTTCAATTACGTTTTGACAAAAAAGAAAACTGGAAGCTAATAGATTTCTAGGCAGAGCTACTCCAGATGTTGCACTCTCCAATTTTAATAATCCAACCTCATAATTTGAAGTTTCTGTGAAATATGATATAAAAGCTTATCAAATTTATGGATAAAGAGAAACTGGAAAGGTCTCTTAGTAATCTGTTTGTAAAGCTAGTTATTTTATAACTGTGTGTATAATGCATATCTGCAAAAGCAACAAATTGCTCTTTTTGTAGTTTGCACATCATTGGTTTAGTAATGTCATGACTTATGACATGAATTTAGTGAACAGAAGTCATAAGATCATTGTATTTCCTTTATGGATATATTGGTGAGGTTAGCACGGCTAAACATAGGAGTCATGTGCCTAATATTGTGAAAGTCACCTTACTATTCTTAAAAGAGAATCTCTTAGGAACAGGGAATGCAACATACAGTGACGTAGACAAGAGCTCCAGATAGGAAAGTGCTGATGTCAGCATTCTCTTTTTGCTTTCTTTTTTTGTTCAGCTGACTTTCCAGTTGCAATCCAAAAGCCTCAGGGCAAGGGCAAGGCTGCCATTAACTCTGTTATCCTGTTACTTGTGTCATGGAAAAAGCAGATAACTGCCACATTTCACTCCACATCTGACATTTAAATAAATGGCATACTGCCTACTTTTCATAATAAGGTCTTTTACTGAGCAATTAATTTCAAGATAGTAAAATATATTTCAGCATAAATGAAATATGCATTTACATACGTTTACAGAATATACTGTTCTTGTATTTGAAAAAAAAAAAAACAATAGAGTAAATCAGTTACAAAAACATGAAAATTAACAGTTATATAAGTTATAGTAAATGTTGACCTCCTATCAAGCACTCTCACACTTCCAGCTCCCACCCCATTTACTTTCTTCTGTTCTTGAATTGAGAAAAAACACACATAAATTAAAACCAAGTGATGTCGAAAGTGGGATATTGATGCTTTAACCACTTAGTCCTCATGCACACTTGACATTTTTACTGCTGCTGTTTTTGGTATTTGACATTTTTTTTCTACAGCCAATAAACTCCCCAGCATGTTATCCTATGTGCCCATGCACACAGACTGTAATCAATGTTTTTTGGCTGGGAAAAAATCCCCAAAACTAGCGGGTTTCTAGAGGAGTTTTTTTCAGCTGTAAAAACTCTGAAAAACGTGGTAAAACGCAAAAAACGGCTGTTTTTTTTAGCGTTTTTAACCACTAGCCTACAGGGCACTTATAACCCCTTCCTGCCCAGGCCAATTTCCAGCTTTCAGCACTGTTGCACTTTGAATGACAATTGCACGGTCATGCAACACTGTACCCATATGAAATTTTTATCATTTTTTTGTGACAGATAGAGCTTTATTTTGGTGGTATTTAATCATCTCTGGGTTTTTTATTTTTTCTTAAACAAACCAAAAACCGCTGAAAATTTAGAAAAAAAAAATTTTTTTTTCTTAGTTTTTGTTATAAAATTTTGTAAATAAGTGATTTTTCTCCTTCACTGATGTGCAATAATAAGGCTGCAGTGATGGGCACTGATAGGTGGCACTGATGAGGAGGCACTGGTAGGTGGCACTGATGGGTATTGACAGGCATCACTGATGGGCACTGAAAGGCAGCACTCATATGGCACTGATAGGCGGCACTGATAGGTGGCACTGATAGGCGGCACTGACTGGCACTGATAGGTGGCACTGACTGGCACTGTTAGGTGGCACTGACTGGCACTGTTAGGCGGCACTGACAGGCACTGATAGGTGGCACTGATGCGCACTAATAGGCGGCACTGACTGGCACTGATAGGTGGCACTGATTGGCAGCACTGATAGGTGGCACTGACTGGCATTGATAGGTGGCACTGACTGGCACTGATGGGTGACACTGAAAGGCAGCTCAGATGTGCACTGATATGTGGCATTGATGTGTACTGATGGGCACTGAAATGTGTCACTAATGTGGCACTGATGGGCACTGGCAGGTGGCATGGATGAGCACTGAAAGCTGGCACTGGTGGACACTGACAGGTGGCGCTGCTGGGGCTACACAGATCATCAGGGCACACTGATCATCAGTGCTCTGATGATCAGTGTACATGTCCCCTCTGAGTAATGCTGATTACCAACTCTCCTCTTCTCACGAGCTGTCAGTGTGACAGCTCGTATGGAGAGAAATGCCGATAAACGACATTTCGCTATTTACATGTGATCAGCTGTGATTGGACACAGCTGATCACATGACCGAGCCGACATCTTTGGCTCTTTCCCTGGATCGGTGATCTGCTGTGTCCGAGGGACACAGCGCACCACCGATCTCCACGCTGTTAATGCGCGGTTAGAATTGGAGGACGTCATATGACGTCCTCCTAGAACGAGAGAACCGCCTTGCGTCCGTCATTTTACTATATGGCAGGCAGGAGGCTGTTAAAGTAACTTTTTTTTAAAAATTAGATTTTATGGAAAAGTAAAATTATTACTGCTTTTCCAGTTTTTGTTTGGGATGCTCTTGCTTCTACATGTCCTACATGTAACCAGATTATAACAATGTTTTATTTGCAGCTCTATTGGCTTTGTTGCCATACTGCATGCTTCTGCAGAGTCATTTCCTATTGTCCTTTGCAGTCCTAGTGTCTCAGATTACAGCACTGGGTGCAGGAAGTGACAGTGTGCTACTGAGCTACTGAAGCTTCTCTATATGCTCTTTTGCTCTCTCTGCTCTCAAAATGGTGGCGATGATGCGTTCTGGGAAAGTGGGAGGCAACAAATAGCAAAGTGAGATGTTTTAGCTGAAAAATGCTAACGCTGAAAAACATGGAAAAATGCAAAAAAAGCAGATAAACGCTATGCAAAAAAAATGCTGAAAAATGCTGAAAAGCTAGAGTTTTTAATGCAGCTGTTATCAGCAGTGTGAGGAAATGTCAAGTGTGCATGAGGATTCCGGATTGATTTAACCCCTTCCTGACCAGGCCATATTTTCTATGTGGAACTGCACTACTTTAACTGGAAATTGCGGAGTCATGCAATACAGTACGCCAATTAATTTTTTTCACACAAATAGAGCTTTCTTCTGGTGGTATTTGATCACCACTGGGTTTTTTATTTTTTGCGATATAAACAAAAAAGAGAAACTTTTGAAAAAAAATGGTATTTTCTACTTTCTGTCATAAAACATATCCAATAAAATCAAATATTGTCATACATTTTGGCCAAAATGTATTCTGCTACATGTCCTTGGTAAAAAAAAAAAATGAGTCTGTAGGAAAGTTACAGCATCCACAAACTAAGGGATATATATTTGCAAATTGATCAATTTTGATGTACTGATGAAAGACCTCATTTCTTGAGGCCCTTAAAATGTCAGAACAGTACAAATATGCCCCAACTTACCCAGACAGTCCGAAGTCTTGGGTTAAGTAAGAGGCATGGAAAGTTTTTTGAAGTTATAATTTTTGTCTCAGTTTTTTAAGAAATTAAATAAAATTAGTTTTTCTTTTCAACATTTTTTTAATGGCATCATGATATGACTGGTGTGGCAGTGACCAGGGACACTGACTGGTGAAAGAAGGATGTTAAAAAAAAATTGTTATTTAATATTTTATTATATTTTCACAATATCTTTTATTTTTCTAGTTTTTTAAAAATATTTTCATTAGAGTAGTTCAGTGTTACCATAGTACCCAGGGAGGGGGTGATCATGTTCTGTTTTTTTTTAATTTTGCTGATACAATGAACATCATTGTACCAGCAATGCTTTAAATTGTCATGAATCAGTTAAGCTCGTGACAGCTGTGAATACCAGTGATCTGTGATTGGATATAGCTAATCACATGGTACAGGGTACTGTGATTGGCCCATGCACCATGTGACAGCTGTGGGCCAATCACAGCTCACTAGTACAGAAAGCAAAGCTGTTATGAATCACATTGATTCTTAACAGCTTTGTGGATATTGTGATCATGTGATCTTCGGTCACGGGGGGGGGGGGGGGAGTCTGTACAGGTACAAAGATGGACGAGTAGATCATTGTGGCTCTATCTGCCCGCAGTAAATGTACTGTGGGCGGTTGGCAAGTAAATACATGTATTTTTACCAAAGTTTGATAAAGTAATCTCTATCCATTTACCATAACTCTGTGTCAAGATTAGTAATGTATACTGCAACCAGGGGCGGACTGACCATTTGGAAATTTGGGCACTGCCTGAGGGCCCGGGGTCAGTAGGGGGCCCCATGAGATGCCCCTGGTATCTTTTTCATAGGCTATTTTGAGTTTGGGCAAGGACACAGGAGCCCCATGATCCCCTATTGCACGGGGGCCCCATGAGTTGTCAGTTCGCCCCTGACTGCAACATCATTTGTTTGAATCCACATCCAACAACCCCCCCCTGACCCCCAAAGGCTTGGCAATAGAGGGCACAGGGTACCAGTGAACTTGGTAGATACTTGGCAGATATCAGATGAGGGTCAAAAAATACTTACAGTCTTCAAAAATATATGACCTTCAAGCCAACCCAGCATTCTGTGAAATAAGCTACTAACTGCGTGACACTAGTTGTTTCAGCTACTGATTACTAGATACCCAAGATTCATCCAGCTTCTCAGGTACCCCAATTTCCTCTA